TACTGTTCAATGCGATGTTAAACCCACCTCACTCACCCACTATTCGGAAACAACGAGAGGTACGTCTACCTTTTCGCTTTTGTATTTGGTATTGCTAAACTTTTCAGGATCTGAACTGAAGAGTAAGTCGATATAACTGTATCCAGAGATCTTATTTTAGTAATCTATAATAATAATCGATTATATGGTTTCTGCTGTAACGTATGTTCATTCAATGCCATTAATGACCATATTTTCAAAAGTTATAATTCATATTGCTTTAAGCATTATATCACACCTTGGGTGAGCTACAGAATCTTATGTCTTTGTCACAAAATAATTCAAGTTTCCATGGCAATAAAACTTTATTTTGCAAAGATTCTGCTCACAGGTCACATGACTAGCTCACATATAAAGTTGACTTTGGATAGCCGATTGAATGATGAGAACATGGATATATTTAGATATTTCTTTACATACAGCTGATTATGTTCTTGATTGAATATGTAAAAGTGAGACTGATTGTACAAACTGCGTCGCCCGTGGTGCCTCACACACAGAGCCGGGTCCCGTGACCAATGCCACACTCCTCACTTTAGAATAGACAGGCCACCGGTGTTCTTAGCAGGCCTGGCGGAATTGACTGGAAAGGGAATTTCATACTTAATGACACATGGATGTAGATGAATAAACACCATCATAAATCCTCATTTCTGTCTGATAGCCCTTTTTCTTATCTTGCAAAGTCAATGAGGGATAAAGAGTCGATTTGCGCCAATTTGCTATGTGTGAAGCAAGCGTGGGTTTTCATCACGGGATCAGCCCAGGCCGCACCGCGCCATAGCAATTCGCGCCATCGTGGCTCCACAGCTTGGTTCTTATGGCCGATGTTTAGTGTGCGCCTCTCCCGGCTCGCTACCTCCCATAGGCGGAGAATAAGTCGTCAATAGAAGCATGCAGACAGCAAGAACAACACCAAGCAGACACAGAACCATGTCGCCATCTTGAATAGGCACGATGACGTCATGTGTCAAAGGTCGTGACCCGGATGTTGTTGTGGATGTGAAGTCATTTAATCCCCTTACAAGTCATGCAACTTGAGGCGTAGACACGGGTATTTAATTAGTGGAAATGCGTGTTTGTTCTAGTGTTGAAGGCAGTGATCAGACTTATTTGCATGATACTCTTCAACCATCCTAAATCGCTCATCCCTTGACGCCATCGTTTCCATCTCTCCATGACAAACATCCTCATCTATGTTGTCGCCATTTATCTGGCGATCAATTGATTGGTCATTTTGCTGTGTGGATCCGGGGAGATACCTCAAGCAGTACATTCATCTAAGATTCGTTATCGACGCCAATAGCTTCGTTTGGCAATTCCTAGGGTTCTGTATTTGTGGTATAGTTATGCTCTTGTTCATGCTTCCTCATAATCGTTGCTTGCGATGACTAATACGTTTTCTTAATGAAACTTTTCGATTCAGGCTCGGTTTCCTTAGTCTGTCTCACAGACCCAAGAGAATAAATTAAAAATGGTATCCAACTCAAGACTAGAAATACTGGGACAATCCTAGTCTGTCGTACAGACCCTGAAGCAAATATATCCAAGAAAGCCCACACAAGTCTAGAAAATGTGGCAAGTCTAGATTTCCTCAGCTTCTGAAAATGAAGAAAGTGTCAGGGCTCCTTTTCATTATATTTTATATTTTTTTACTATGAACCTTTTTCAGTAAAATATGTTCATTTCAGAGACTAGTTGTTAGTCTAGGACAATCCAGATTGCTTCAGACCTAGGAAATTAAGTGTTATTCTAGGCTCCATTTGGTATATATATTTTTGTTTTGTAGATGAATATTTTTGAAAAGGATAACTATATTTCAGTCTATGGTTTCCCGAAGGACTGATTGAACTGCTCATTAAATACTGGGAATTCTTATAACCTTGCATATATACATAAACGTTATTTTGACTATTATTTGTCCTGACGTAAATGAATCAACTTTTCTGTAACTACAGAATGCTGTTTGTTGCGAAACGTCATAAAATTCACTCTATATGCTGCGTTGTTCTTCGCTCTCGAACATACGTGACTCTACTTGTTGTTGTCTTTACACATTGTGCTTCCTGGTTCGTCATTCTGGATACTAACTCTATCTACTTCCTGGTTCGTCATTCTGAATACTAATACTGAATACTTCCTGGTTCGTCATTCTGAATACTAATGCTGAATACTTCCTGCTTCGTCATTCTGAATACTTCCTGGTTCGTCATTCTGAAAACTGATACTGAATGCTTCCTGCTTCGTCATTCTGAATACAAATACTGAATACTTCCTGCTTCGTCATTCTGAATACTAATTCTGAATATTTCTTGGTTCGTCATTCTGAATACTAATTCTGAATACTTCCTGGTTCGTCATTCTGAATACTAATTCTGAATACTTCGTGGTTCGTCATTCTGAATACTTCCTGGTTCGTCATTCTGAATACTTCCTGGTTCGTCATTCTGAATACTGCCTGGTTTGTCATTCTGAATACTAATTCTGAATTCATCCTGGATCGTCATTCTGAATTCTAACTATTTCTACTTCCTGGTTAGTCATTCTGAATACTAACTATTTCTACTTCCTGGTTTGTCATTCTGAATACTAATTCTGAATACTACTTGGTTCGTCATTCTGGATACTTATGCGGAGTACTTCCTGGTTTGTCATTCTGGATACTATCTCTATCTAATTCCTAGTTCGTCATTCTTGATATTAATTCTGTCTACTTCCTGGTTTGTCATTCTGAATACTAACTCTATCTACTCCTTGGTTCGCCATTGTGGACACAAACTCAGGTTTTTCATTCTGAATATGTTCTGGTTCGTCATTCTGGATACTTAGTCCATATAGTTTTTAATTCTTCATTCTGAGGTTGTTACCGGTAGGGCAAGACATGCTCACCCTTTTCGCGAACACCTGGTGTCATCACTGTTTTTCAGTGGTCCATTCATATAAATTTTATTTAGAGCTATTTTCCTTTATACCAAAACAAACGGAACCGTGTTTCTGAGGATAGTCAATACTGGGTATTCATTTGCACTGGCGCTCAATATTGGTTACTCTAGATGATAATATATATATACTACCTGGTTGGTTGCACAGGATATTATCTCAGCGTGATCATTGGTTCACTGCTCTGGATACTAACTCAAAATGGTCTATAGTTCGTCACTCAGAACACTCGCGCTGTAGTCTGCAGTTGTCACTTTGGGTACTAACTCCATATAATCTGCAGTCACTCTGGACACTAATTGTGTATTTCGGTATATCGTTACTACCGAATCCATGTACTACCTGGTTCGATACACGAGACACTATCTCCTTATGATCAGTGATTCGAAAGTCCGGACATTAAGTCCATGTAATCTCTATGGATACTAATTCTTATCTTATGGATACTTAAATCGTACATGTAGTTCGCCTACTAACTCTCTATAATCTGTAGTTCGCCTCTTTGGATAATAACTCTTTTATCTGTAGGTTGACGCTTTGCCTACAAGGCAATCCAAGTCCACCCTCTCCACGACCATACTGCAGTGGTCTATTACGGACAAACTCAGGATGTATGAGGTGAAAAAATCAAAACCATGTCTAATTTCTGTGGAATTGTTTAAATAATGTAATGTGTAATGTTTGTTTGTTTATCTTTTACGCCGCACTCAGAAACAGCTACACTTGATTCCGTTTGGGATTATCCGCGATCGTAGCGCTACGACGTAAGTTATTATCAAAGTTACGATAGTCGAAGTGCTACGATCGCGTTGAAAAAGCTGGCCCAGGACACTAACGGTATATTTCCCGAGCACAATCCTCCGCTTAATACCATTGTCAATGATTTTGACCTCAAAGTACCTGAGTGCTTATGGGTGGTTCTCAGTGAACCTTGAAATGTACCATTTACCTAAAATATTTTTTAACACGACAGACTCCACTATCTGCGACGTTGTAAGCGTATCTGAGATTGGGGTAGGGGGGATGTCAAGAACGCTGACGGCTGCGACGCGACTGCACCATCTACATAACACATTCCTGGCAAATATCTAAGGGAACATCACTGTGTCCACTTAATTAGATATTTAACGCTCGAGTCGACGCTGAGGGTCTGATAGTAGGGGCCGCGCCGTCGCGACCCTCACTCATCGGCTCGGGTAGTAGTGGCTGAAGAAACAGGAGAAATACAAGCTATTACCCTGAGAGAGATAAAGGAGGAATACTGATCCTGATTGTCAAGGCTCCTGTGGAGAGGAGATGAACTTCGGGCTTGTCGGGTCACGCAGGAAACTGGTGCCACTGAAGTGGCAAAGCTATACAAATCTAAGAAGCAATCCTCATCACGACCATCCTGCAGCCGCCTGTTGCGGACAGTTCAAGATGGATGTGATGACATACACGTCTACTTGATTTATTCAAACTGAAAAAAGCAAACCTATTTCTAAGTTTTGTGGAGATGTTTGAATGATGTAATGTGTGATCATATACAAACAAACACGTGGTCGCTAAAATATAAAGTGCCTCCTTGAGGCGTTCTCAGTGTACTCAGTTTATTGTTCTCAACTGGTTGCCCTCATTCATACTCAGTTTATTGTTCTCAACTGGTTGTCCTCATTCCCGAACATCCTCAACTGGTTGCCCTCATTCCCGAATGTCCTCAACGGGTTGTCCTCATTCACGAACGTCTTCAATTGGTTGTCCCATACCCGAACGTCCTTAACTGGTTGTCCCATACCCGAACGTCCTCAACTGGTATTCCTCATTCACGAACGTCTTCAACTGGTTGTCCCATACCCGAACGTCCTCAACTGGTTGTCCCATGCCCGAACGTCCTCAACTGGTATTCCTCATTCACGAATGTCTTCAACTGGCTGTCCTCATTCACGAACGTCTTCAACTGGTTGTCCTCATTCACGAACGTCTTCAACTGGTTGTCCCATACCCGAACGTCCTCAACTGGTATTCCTCATTCACGAACGTCTTCAACTGGTTGTCCCATACCCGAACGTCCTCAACTGGTTGTACTCATTCACGAACGTCTTCAACTGGTTGTCCTCATTCACGAATGTCCTCAACTGGTTGTCCTCATTCACGAACGTCTTCAACTGGTTGTCCTCATACCCGAACGTCTTCAACTGGTTGTCCTCATTTACGAACGTCTTCAACTGGTTGTCCTCATTCACGAACGTCTTCAACTGGTTGTCCTCATTTACGAACGTCTTTAACTGGTTGTCCTCATTTACGAACGTCTTCAACTGGTTGTCCTCATTCAGGAACGTCTTCAACTGGTTGTCCTCATTTACGAACGTCTTCAACTGGTTGTCCTCATTCACGAACGTCTTCAACTGGTTGTCCTCATTTACGAACGTCTTCAACTGGTTGTCCTCATTCACGAACGCCTCATTTACGAACGTCTTTAACTGGTTGTCCTCATTCACGAACGTCTTCAACTGGTTGTCCTCATTTACGAACGTCTTCAACTGGGTGTCCTCATTCACGAATGTCTTCAACTGGTTGTCCTCATTCACGAACGTCTTCAACTGGTTGTCCTCATTCAGGAACGTCTTCAACTGGTTGTCCTCATTCACGAACGTCTTCAACTGGTTGTCCTCATTCACGAACGTCTTCAACTGGGTGTCCTCATTCACGAATGTCTTCAACTGGTTGTCCTCATTCACGAACGTCTTCAACTGGTTGTCCTCATTCAGGAACGTCTTCAACTGGTTGTCCTCATTCACGAACGTCTTCAACTGGTTGTCCTCATTCAGGAACGTCCTCAACTGGTTGTCCTCATTTACGAACGTCTTCAACTGGTTGTCCTCATTCACGAATGTCTTCAACTGGTTGTCCTCATTCAGGAACGTCTTCAACTGGTTGTCCTCATTCAGGAACGTCTTCAAACGTCTTTAACTGGTTGTCCTCATTTACGAACGTCTTCCACTGGTTGTCCTCATTCAGGAACGTCTTCAACTGGTTGTCCTCATTTACGAACGTCTTCAACTGGTTGTCCTCATTCACGAACGTCTTCAACTGGTTGTCCTCATTTACGAACGTCTTCAACTGGTTGTCCTCATGCCCGAATGTCCTCAACTGGTTGTCCTCATTTACGAACGTCTTCAACTAGTTGTCCTCATTCACGAACGTCTTCAACTGGTTGTCCTCATTTACGAACGTCCTTAACTGGTTGTCCTCATTCCCGAACGTTTTTAACTGGTTGTCTTCATTCCCGAACGTCCTCAACTGGTTGTCCCCATTCCCGAAAGTCCTTAGCTGGTTGTCCTCATTTCCGAACGTCCTCAACTGGTTGTCCTCATTCCCGAACGTCCTCAACTGGTTGTCCTCATTCCCGAACGTCCTCAACTGGCTGTCCTCATTCCCGAACGTCCTCAACTGGTTGTCCTCATTCCCGAACGTCCGTATATAGCAAGAAAACTTCACTTATTGTCTTCTTTTGCTTGACCCCTTCCCTGGTTGTTCTGGAGCATGGCTGGCCCGGTCGTCTAAGGCATAGCAATACGTTGTGCAGAGTTGCGTCCCTTTAGCACAACAGAAACCTATGCATTGTGAGTTCGAATCCCAGCTCGTCCCGATTATGTTTCTGTAACAGAGTGGGAAACGTCCGGACTTCGGGTTTTCCTCCCACATTACACTCATACGTCGTGATATAACTGAAATACCGGCGGTTCATATATACTGAGAGAAACAAACAAAGGAACACAGGAAACGTCAAGTGTTCCTTTACTATTTTCCAGTTTTCATCACCAGCATTGAATAGCGCTGAGGGTGGAAATCTGAGAATAAATAAAGGAACACTACCATGAAATGGTGTTCCCTTATTTGTTTCCCTCAGTATATGTGGTAATGAAGCATACAATGTTATGGATACCAACTACTTGCAATGTTTCGGTGTAGATTCTTACACTGCTCTCAATCTAATCACGGTGTGAGAATCTACACAGATTGCTCTATGCAATAAACAATAAGTTGAATGCTTCATTACTGACTCGCCAACTTCCAGAATGCCGATCAAACAATCAAATATGTAGTGCATGTACGAAAACGGCTCTTTCAGCGATAAGGAAACACAAATACAATCTCACTATAAGTTTACACAGGGGCGTAGGGACGGTTTTCAGAGCGGGGTGGCTAATTGATGAAAAGTATTGAAAATCAAAATGAAATTGTAGTTATGGTAAGGTAGATATGGTTTCGTCTTGAAAAAGTGTGGGGGAGGGGGCTAAGCCCCCATTCCTACGCCCCTGTTACATAATAAAAAACTTTTCTTTCAATGTGACAAGTGACAAGTATATTTTGTTTTTGAGGCCTCATGGCACATAGTGCTAAGATACAAAAAGCATACAGTGCGCCAGATATATTGATATACATTGCAAGACTACTTAACGTGATACATTTCTTTTGAGGAACAACATCTTCTTTATAAGAACAGAATATGTTGTTGACATTTATGAAACAAATTTATCATGGAATGGATTGTTATAATATGGTGGTACAAACAGTTCTCTACATGTCTTATAATGAGGACATAACAGAAGGAAAGGAAATTCATCTTCAACAGATCAGGGATAACACTTCGAGCATAACAGTTGATTATGATCTTTCAATAAACATAGTAACTGAACACTCAATTTATGCGATGCACAACCAAATATATAGTACACTCTTAAGAGATCCTTTGACTGGAACAGATCTAATACATTCTTCTTACAAGTAATGCAGTGCGAAGATATATTGATATACATTGATAGACTACTTAACATGATACATTTCTTTTGAGGAATATTGATATCCTTTTTATAAGAACAGAATTTGTTGTTGACATTAATGAGATAAATTTATCATGAGATGGATTGTTACAATAATATGGTGGTATAAACAGTTCTCTACACGTATTATAATGAGGACATCAAAGCATTGATAGTCATGAAATGTTACAATTGCATTTAACGGGTCTTTGTAGGAGTATTTTATATATATATTCCACGATTGTATACCACCACCAGAAATAGATTTCACACATTTCACAAATTTACGGAATGTTAACGCGGGCTCTTGTGACGAGTGAACAACTAGCCAAGGGGTTTATAACCAAGTGGTGGCGGTGGGTTAGTATAGTGGTTAAAGATTTCGCTCGTCACGCCGAAGGCCCGGGTTCGATTCCCCACATGGGTACAATAGGTACAATGTGTGAAGCCCATTTCTGGTGTCCCCTGCCGTGATGTTGCTGGAATATTGCTGAAAGCGGCGTAAAACTAAAACTCACTCACTATAACCTCACCTACCACAAAAGCTCACCATGGTCAAGTGATGTAAACTTCGGGATGAGGATGTGCCAAACCAAGGATGTTATCTTATAATATAAAACTTGTATATGATACCATGGGGTTTTAGGTTCTCTGGACCATTTTGGATACTCCGTGACATATAAACAGAGAAGCTGAGACATCTGTGGAAACATTACAGATAACGTTGTCAGTATAGTATTTATGTGTGTAATGTTCAGAAGTTGATACTTACAGCTGTTTTTACTCATGATGCCTCTTGCTGTTGTTTTTATTTTCATTAACAGAATAATTATGTATGAAAGATGCATCCGTTCTCACGATTTACGTAACAGACATATTTAGCTATATTTTCATGAATGTCTTTAACGATTTGCTCATTTCATGTTTTAGCATCATCATCATCATCATCATCACCATCACCATCATCACTACAATGACCACCACCATCACCATCACCAACATCTATTCAAGAAGCCTTGGCCATCTACGGTTAAACCAATTACATGAAATGGGCCATCTGAAAGAGCAATTTGCTATTTGACCATAATTGAACGATGTCAGATTATCTGTTTACCTGAAACTCAAGCTACAAGTCAAGGCTAAATTATCCCTTTTGTTTGAAGCTTCAGATCCATATGCGGTGCAGAACACATCAGCAAGGAGAGAAGCACAGTTGGTAACCATGGGGATGACTACGTTTTTGGTTAAATTTCTTTCCCCCACATTTTACAGAGATGACCCTTGTTAGTATTTAGGATCATGGTTACTCTTGGAGCCAGGAATTTGGGGTCACATTTACTGGATTTATCAATATATCTTTCTTTTAACACGTGTGCACAGAGCTATGGAGTCCAGTACAGTACTGCGTGTGCAGGTAGTGAATTCACAATGTCTTTTAGATAGTGGTCAAACTGTAACATGGTATATTTGAAATCATACTTTCTCGGGACACTTTCTCACCCTTGTCAGAGGTATATTCAAAGTTCCCGATCTAGACTACCAGCTGACAGACTGAAGTTTTTGTGGTGGCTGAGCGGGTTAGATCGCTGGGTCCGGATGGGACTCAACAAACCGATTAATTGAATCTGTACTTTACTGTGATAGTGTAATCCCAAATATAACATATGGTACGTCTTCAGGTGTACGATTTAACACAGAGCTGATGGTAGTGATGTGTGGTTTGTGCAGAGTTTCTCCGCATTAAATATGGTGACCTTACAAGCGGCATTATTTGATGTCATGTATACCACGATCGGTTATAAACAATTAAAATAGAGAAGTTTCAGTATAATGGTTAATGTTCGAGGCCATGTCAGCATCTACAAACGTTTAATGTATGTCTTTTATGAGTTTATTGGAGTCTCCAAAGATGGGAACGCAATATGTCCAAGAAGAGACTGGCGCAATGGGTTGTATTCTCCTTCACGATGTGCTGGGTTTGATTGATTAAATTGTTTGTATTTTTAACCCCGCACTCAGCAATATTCCAGCTACATGGCGGCGGTCTGTCAATAATCGAGCCTGGACCAAACAATCCAGTGATCAACAGCATGAGCATCGATCTACACAATTGGGACACGATGACATGTGTCAACCAAGTCAGCGAGTCTGACCAACTGATCCCGTAAGTCGCCTCTCACGACAAGGTTACTGAAGATCAATTCTAGCCCGAATCTTCACTGGTGATGTGTTGGGAGGGCGGTGTTGGAACTTAAATTAGGTTTTACTTTAGGAAGGGTCACGTGGTCATGTTATGTGAATATGATATGGATATGTTATGATATGGAGTTACTCACATGTTGCTTTACGCCGCACATACAACTATTGCAGCTGTGCTAACATCCATTATACCACGACGGTAAAAGTGGGTCAACAGAGTCAGATTTAATGGAAAGTTGTTTTACGCCGCACATCAAACTATTTTGCTATGCAACTATGGCCTGAAAACAGTGGAAGCTAGCTGACCCTTATAGACCTGGGCCTAGATTTTTCAAAGCTCTCTTCGCGCTTAGATAGTCGTAAGTTAATGCTAATGTATGGCGCTTACGACTATCTTAGCGCTAAGATAGCTTCGAAAATCTAGGCCCAGGGCCCCGTTTCACAAAGCTCACGTAAGCCTAAGATCTTGTAACCTTTCTCGTAGCATTCGTACCTACTATGTTACAGTATAGGAAGTTATGCTACGAATGCTACGAGAAGAGTTACGAGATCTTAGGCTTACGAGGGCTTTGTAAACGGGCCCAGTGGTTGATAGCATGAGTGACATTCCTCGACGTCGGGGTACGACAAATCACACCGACCTCACATCACTCCGCGGTAATCCATGACTGTGGACATTCTGTGATTCAGCTCCATAACAGGGACAAGAGATTACAGTAAGAGAAATAAAAGTTGAAGCTGGCACAAAGTGAAATAGCATCCAAAAATCCCTTGATCATTGGTTTGTTAGCACCAAGAATTTCCCTGGCTGTGATGACTGGTTTGGATCTTAGTTACATGTTAACTTCAACGACCTGCGTCATTCAGGTACAAACCGAACACACCAAAACACGTGCTGTATTGTGTGACCTACTACTCTGACAAAAGAATTGAGTGAGTGAGGAGTATTGGTTTGACGCCGCTTTTAGCAATATTCCAGCAATATCACTGCGGGGGACACAAGAAATGGGCTTCACAAATTGTACCCATGTGGAGAATCGAACCTGGGTCTTCCGCGTGACGAGCGGACTCTTTAACCACTAGGATACCCCACCGCCCCGACATATGAATTGAAGAAATGAGTGAGTGAGTATGATTTTACGCTGCTTGTAGCAGTACTGCAGCAAAACCACGGCTGGGGACACCAGGCATTATTCATTTGTTATAATTAAACTTCTATCAGAATCACACATCATGTATAACTACCACTTACCATTATTTAAACATATATACTTTCATATTTTTTGAGAATGTATCCTTCAGATCCTGTCTCACCAGTCTATCCATGTCTTGTTTCACGCCGCAAATATACTAGCAATATCAAGCAGGGAACACTTGTAAATTATATTTAACACATTATACCCATGCGGGAAATCGAAGCAGGGCTTTCAGTGGGACGAGCGAACGCTGTAATCACTGGGCTACCCCTCGCCCCATGCATTGTAATCAGGCATATCGACAATCTCGTCCAAATAGAAGCCCCTGGCTTATGAAAGAGTGAATGGGTGAATCGAGTTAACCGCTTAACAGTAATTCAGAGTTGGTATAGGAATGGAGGTGGGGGCATCGCCATCCAATCTTCGCTTATCCACGAAGCGGTTAATAGTGAGTGTGAGCGTGTATTTGAAGCAAGTCTAGATTTCCTCAGGTTCTGAATCTCCAATCTCACTGGGGCTCCTTTTCAATTTAAATGGGTTTGTTTGTTACTATCAAAATTATATATATATTCAAAGACTAAGCGTTAGTCAATCCTTGTCGTATGAGGCGACTAACGGGAACGGATGATTAGGTTCGCTGACTTGGTTGACACATGTCATCGTATCCCAACTGAGTAGAACCACGGTCATGATGTTGATCACTCTATTGTCTGGTCCAGACTCGATTATTTACAGACCGCCGCTATATAGTTGGAATATTGCTGAGTGCGGCGTTAAACAATAAACCAACCAACAACGTTAGCCTTAGTTTGTGTGTGAGTGAGTGAGTGAGTGAGTGAGTGAGTGAGTGAGTGAGTGACTAAAGCTTTAAGTTATATTCCAGCTAAATCACAGAGTACCAGCTTGATGGAGGAATAAAACTCTGCGATTTCTCCTCTTGGTGAAACCCACAAGCACACGTATGAACGTACAAGTCATGTACAGTTTCAGCAAGTGTAAGAACTGTACACTGAAATTGCACATTCAAAGCCGTGGAGCTTTTGGTTATACTGTACATTCGTAATATTTTCGATTAATACTTAACCGACATTAATTTTGATAATATTTTCATGAAAATTGTGTTTGTACGCCAATACCAAACTAGTATACAGATGAAGTTATATCATACCATTCATCATTTTAATGATAGCCCTGTGTAAATATTCTAATATCTGACTTCGATCAATACCAAACAAAAGTTATATCCAGCACGGCAGGCTACTAAAGCTAGCGCGTAAAGAAACATTCACTTGATTCAACAGGCGCGAAGAGACGTTAACACAATCAACCGACAATCAAGCGTTGAGTATATTCCGTTCAAGTTCACGCATCAACTAGTTGTTTTAGCATCGGCTGCCTCACATAACCATGTAACCAAACGAATTGTAAACACAGAGGCAAAAAATCCAAGCCACTACAACGAATAATCCACACCTTTTTGCAAGACATCGAAACTGACATTACCAAAACTCTGTCTCAAATGACGTCACTCCTGGTCAACGCGGGGCGAGCTCTCGGTGGGTTTGAGGCGATTCATCTCCCCGCCCCTCAGTGGAGTTAACAGGTTGCAAGGGAATAGACCGCGCATTGATAAAACATGGGAGTAAGACGCCAGCGATCACTCTGGCTAAACAGATGGGCGTTATTGGCGGGCCGTTTCATTCAGACCTCCGAGAAGCGTGACTGCGAGTAGGTATAAGCCTGACTGTCGACTGATTGCACACCTGGAGGCGAGCTGACGGCTACCACGTTAGCTACACCAAGGAGAGACTTCGCCGTGAGCGGTGTTCATGATCAACTTGGGAGAGATTGTATACAGAAAGTTTCACAGAGGATTACCAATTGCGAAATGGTTGTGAGATAGCGGACGCTTGTTGTCATCAATGTGATTTAACATCGAATTATTACTAAACAGGTAAGTTTTATTCACTTACGTTTTATCAAATTTATTTTGACTTTTAGTGTGAATGGATCTAATCTAACGCAACCTGTATTAAAGAGCACCTGACTGGAAACATTGGTTTTGCAGCTTACTACTGTATAAAGTTAGAAAATATGGACTTTTAATGGATTCTTTAGCGTACTATTTTTTAAATCGAAACATGCGTTAGAAGTTGTTGAATAATCTTTAAATTCATGAAACGTTTTGATTTGAAAATTTAATGATATTGTGTTTTTGAAATGTTTAGGAAACTGCTAGCCACCGCTGAATAAGTTTCAATTCATGCGTTTTGTTAAAGTATGTAATAACAATAGCTGAAAACAATGTATCAATAGGAAAAAGTTATGCGACTTTAATAATATGCAGCCAGACACGCGTCTTATGCGCATAGGTTTACAAATATTCGGCGCTAAATCTCACTATGTATAAACTTCCACAAGCCTAGTGGAGGCACTTCCGTGTACAGAAAATAACAGTGCTCGCATATATCCTCGATGGATCCACCAAGTTAAAACCAACTTACCCACTCAATATGATGCAGAGTATACTGCCCTGTCTAGATGAGACATGAATGATAAACGCTAATTGTTCTAAGTTAACGCCACTTTGACTCCACACGTACGCATGTTTATAAACACTGTACATTGTTGAGCACGATAACGATTATATATAGAAATCACATATCTGTGTCTGTATCGAAGAATGTCCATGTATACGGGCTTGCGAATACACGAATTACTCGAATATTTACGTGTATCCCGAAGCGCTGAAGAAGTAAAAGAGATGCGCGCTATCGTCATCTTAGACAACACAACTGTGTCACATTCGCCAAGATAAGGAGTCTGTTAACGAAAGCAGGATAGATTAACGTTTGGGGTTAAAACAACAAAATCTTACATCAATATTAAACAATATCGCTTTTCGATCGAAATCTGTGATACTGTTTATAAAATGTGGTAGAAATGTTTAAAAAGTTGTGGAATCAGTGTTAAGGTAGACGTTCTCTGCACGGCCGGTCCCGGCTCTTCATTCATCGAGCGCGTTCAGTCTCCGTGTTGAAGCAATGGTGATAGCAAATCAGACCACGCTTGTCGTTTTATGCTCATGTCTCGCCGATTTCGATAATGAAGCATCTTTATTCGTGTTTTTACTAGCTTCACAAATTACTAGCAGTGTAGTATCTGTTCGTAGGAGCAGTTTTGGTTTATTTCCCCTCCCGGTGTAATTATCAACTAGAACTATCTCGATGCTCAATTAAAACCTTTTACAACTCGACGTGAAAACCTCTGTAGGGCGTTTCGTCCTCATGGGGCACGTCGTAAAACAGTGACAGAAGTGGTTTGCTAGCGTTTGATGGGCGTTTGGAGGTACCCCATACTAAATGAAACTTTGTAAATTATTTGGTAATGGGTCCATGCCTATAGTAGATAAACATATTTCATATATCAAAAGAATTCAGAGCGTGGTGCGATATACCAGCGGCGGCGCAACAGAGATATATCACTAGTTTACGTCTATGGTTTTATATTTACGGTGGGGCGTTAATAGGAATTAACCCCAGGGTGTTATGAGTGCCGAGGACAAATCATCCGTAACTTTAAATAGGCTGTATAGATTATTGCAGCAGTATAAAAATATTACGACATTTAGCTAATTTTGGGACTATTAAACATATCGTGCCTTGCCGTTAAAGTGTACTTTACTTTGATCAGAAACTGGTGGGCGTGTCTGACACTGATACGTTATGTGTTGGAAATATAAGACCATTGAACACGACAATATGACCACGTCAAATTAATATTGTTGACATTTAACAAAGACAAGATATTCTGACTATCACATTGACATGTGTATATGTATTATGTAAGGGAGGAACGGAAAACGGACTCCAGATAGAAGGGTAGTGTTTGTATTGTTGTATAACATCAGTACTTGTAAGGGCGTTATTAATAAGTAACCCGGTCCAAGTTTGACTGAACTGCCATGTGGGGGTCCTAATAGGATTATTGAACGTCGCCAAGATTGTATCCTTCATGCTGGAAACGTATACAGCCTCACGATCAGATGCCTTGCTGAATAGACACTTATCTCATTAGTTCTCAAGTTGTGGACTTCTCAAGTAGTCGGTACAAACCGCTCTGTCCGGGGGGTGAGAGACTGCCCTTGGGGGGTCTGGGCGGGACTCCCCACGTTCAGGACCGGGTGGATCATCCACGCTGACATTGTATCGTTGTACACGGAGATGGTTCTGACGGTTCTGACGGAGTCGTGGACAGACTCGGGTAGCGTCGACAGGGGTTGTGTCTGTATCAGTATGGGTAGGATGGAAGGACGGGTAGACTTGTAGGGTAGAAGGACGGGTAGACTTGTAGGATGGGAGGCCGGGTAGAATTGTAGGATGGAAGGACGAGTAGACTTGTAGGGTAAAAGGACGGGTATACTTGTAGGATAGAAGGACGGTAGACTTGTAGAGTAGAAGGACGGGTAGATTTGTAGGGTAGAAGGACGGGTAGACTTGTAGGATGGGAGGACGGGTAGGATGGGAGGACGGGTAGACTTGTAGGATGGGAGGACGGGTAGACCTTTAGGATGACAGGATGGGTAAACTTGTAGGGTAAGAAGGACGGGTAGACTTGTAAGGTAAGGACGGGTAGACTTGTAGGGTGGAAGGACGGCTATATTTGTGAGTGAGTGAGTTTAGTTTTAGGCCGCACTCAGCAATATTCCAGCTATATGGCGGCAGTCTGTAAATAATCGCGTCTGGACCAGGCAATCAAGTGATCAACAACATGAACATCGATCTACGCAATTGGGATACGATGATGGTATGCTTGAGGACTGGTGTACATGTAGGATGTTAGGACGGTTATAATTTGTAGGCTGTAATTAGGACAGATGTACATGTAGGATGTTAAGACGGGTATACTTGTAATATGTAATTAGGACGGGTAGACTTGTAAGATGTAAGGACGGGTATACCAGCAGGATAGAAAGGTGGGTATACTTGTAGGACAGAAGGACGGGTATCACTCTATTCTAGGTTACGACTTGTTTGATTGTAGTTTGTAAAGGTAGATGTGTCGTAGGTTCTTAAGACAGAGAATGGAAGGCTGTAAAACGGGTGTAAATAAGTACATTGGTCCGAAAGGAAACAAATATTAGACACGTTATAAAGGCTGGTATATATGCAGTTAATAAAGGCAGGTATACGGGGTTATAAGAAGGCTGTATGTGCGAACTATTAAGATGGGTGTATAGCTTGGTTATAAAGACGGTTGTACGTTGTGTTATACAAATGTTTATATGCAGTTATATATATCCAGTTATGTATGCAATGTTATAAATGCGGGTAGATACGCGTGATCGAAAAGTATATGCAGTATGCATAATTATTCAGACTGCTGTATATGTTGGGGTTAGTAAGGTTACAGAAACATGGTGTTGCGATATAGGGACGGGTATTCGGGGTGGGTTATTAACACGGGTACAGATAAGTGTATGGAGGTTGGATTACCGTTGGCATTGGTCGGGTGTATACACAAGTTTGTAGAGAGACGGGCTATCATTAAACACGTTATAACGTAATAAGGCGCAAGTGAGACTTACGGGTCCCTTTCACGGCTGTTCCCAAGTATTGAAGCGGGTGTACTGGGAATGCTGGAGCGGGTATCACCGACGGGTACATATGGAGGTTAATTGAGGGGTACAGTGACAAGGTTAGAGGTAGGGTCATACTGGGGGATTAGAGAGACTGGTATATATAGGCAATGCTATTAGTTAGCCTATTCAGTTATCACAGTTCGGCAAATTAGTAGACTGGGGTGTTAAAGCTGTCAGCAAAGCGACGCCTAGCGGTGAAAAGTCTGGCGAGGCGCACGCCACTCACTGCTATCCAGTCGTCAATATCGCGGCTAATCACGCACAAACAATCATTGAGAGCCTCCGCGCTGAAGATGATAAAAGCAGTGTCTGCTTTTCACTCGGCCGTGTCCATCCCCCCGGGTAAAGAATCCCCTCACCACGACTATCTCAACGCTGGCCGATCGCCAGCCGCCCTCGTTCCCAAACCCAACTCTTGGCGCCAAAAAGACCCGCTGAAATCTATTTGGTTACTCACTTTAGCTCCCTATCCCTGCGCCCCAGTAGATTTATGACTTACTTAACAGCATCCCGGAGTAAATTTGTATACCTCCGATGATATGTGGTCCGTCTTTCCTAAAGTATAGATTCAATGAATGACCGCCAATGCGGTTCGTCAGTCCGACTGGGTGACTACCCCCGGCGCACCTGTTGCTTCAGAGCACAGGCAATCCTATATAACGATCACTCGCAGAGATCCCATACTGAGATGGGACTGCTGGAACCGTAGCCACTATACAGGAATCTTCAGGTAAAACGATAACTGGTCCATTCACAGGTGAAATTGTTCGCTAAAGACGTGTTTAATAAGCACACTTTCCAGGAAGTGATTTTTTCCACCTTGTGAAACGCCATATGTTGAGTTAATGCATTAATGATGTGTGTTTTTAAATTATTTTGAGGAAATAATGATTAGAATTTTATGTTTCAGAATGCGAGTTCCAGTGGTGCACATGTTGGCCGTGCTAGCGGTAGGCTGTCTCGTTTTAACACAAGTCGACTGTAGACGAAGTCACAAAAGACGTCACCGAGATCGGTTCCCACTGAACGCCACAGAGACATTCACGGCCATACCTTCTCGAGGCCCTTTCATGACAAAACTAGTTCCCGATAGGCACAAAAGCGCAATTAAAGGAAGCAGAAAGGCAGTTGTTGTGACGAAAAAGACCTATTTGAGAAAGGAATGGTGTAAAACACAGCCCCTAAAGCAGGTAATACGGGAAAAGGGTTGTTTGAGAACGACTGTGTTAAACAATTTCTGCTATGGCCAGTGCAATTCTTTCTTTGTTCCAAAATCCGACAAAAAGGATCAAGGACCAGCAGCGTTTATGTCATGTGGTTTTTGCAAACCGCGTCACTTCAGGACAATTCTTGTAACCCTCCGCTGTCCTGGAAAGAAGGGCATGCGCTTCAAGAGGAAAAGAATCCAGGGGATCAAGAAGTGTCGCTGTATGGCACAGGACGTCAGTTTTCCCTGAAGATAAACCAGAAAGGATTTGATGAGACTGTGTGACGGTGGGGTTTGAAATCCCAGCGTTTGTGAATCTCAGGGCAACAGAAAAGTAATGTCTGCTACACAGACGACACACTCTGCTCCGGTGCACGGCTACTTGTGTAAGTGCACGGACAATCTATAGTGCTACTAAGATACACTGGAGAAACATTAGCGCTACCTGAAAACACTGAGCTGAGAAATCCTCTAGTGTAGTACAATGCGGGTTAGCGCTATCTCTGTGTCGTCGCTTCATAGGATTACTGAGTGAACGTTGAATCGTCTGCAGCGTTTTTGGCGCCAAACTGTTCTGTATCAGGGTCGCGCAGACCGACTCTCAAGTGCCGCAGAAGGGGAGTCAAGTACGGATTGGAGCTCCCCCGATATATGTGTACATTTGAGAAGCTTCTTCAATAACCACACTCGACTTCCACAATACAGGTCTAAGACATTGTGGGGCAGCGAGAAGAGCGAGCTATTGTCGTCTGCTCGGGGACGGTGGCTTGGCACGAAGGCAGGTAAAGGACATTGAAACGAATATGAATGTCCATGCTATCCATGGACCGAACAGAGACATATTAGTGCTGCCCTCTGGTGGCAGTGGCCGTGACTTGAGAGTATCCTGAAAAGACATGATTTGAGATCCCAGGACTTACGTACCATGTTGATGGCATTTAGATTCAAAGCCGTAATATGCATTTTACATTCGCTAATAATCTCTCGAGACTTAAGTGATTGAGCGAAATTTGACAAACTGTTTGGCTGTTCAAGTTCTCAAGAAAAAGTGCACAACTTCTTCAACAGAACTAGATATCACGATTCATGCAGAAATGACATACTTGTTGATCTATGCGACCTAAAATGCTTAATTTATTTACTTTCAATGAGAATGTTTGGGATTAAGGAGTTGGCGCCAAATGTCACGATTTTTTGTGACGTGGGTAGTGGTTTGAGTGACGTCATGAGGTGCTGAACGCTATGTGAGACTGTGATATAATATATCGCTGTTGTGCAATCTCTCATTGGACCATGGGATCAGAATGGTGTACATTTGTATATATTAATCTTAATGATGTTATATGGTATTTATGTCGATTTGAATATATATACTGTCTCAAATGTTGTTTATGTTTCTTGTCTTCAGGGAATGGAATAAATTTCCTGATTATGTCGAAGACTGTGTACAGTGTTCTCATTGTATGAGCTTATACCGTAGTAGAGCAACACCTGTGGGTGAGTGGGGTCTGCGCTTGTAGTCCTACTCGAGTCGACCAGTCTTTGTTTAAACCCTTAATGGCTTGCACTAGGCAGGGCAACAGCAAGTACAATTGTTAAACGCCTTCTGGTATGACGCGGATAGGGATCGATCCACTAACATTCAAGGAATCCGCTCAGTCCCTCTATCCACTAGACTATTGAGGGGCGGTGGGGTATCCAAGTGGCTCAAGCGTTCGCTCGTCACGCCAAAGACCCGGGTTCGGTTCCCCACATGGGTAAAATGTGTGAAGCCCATTTCAGGTGTCCCCCGCAGTGATATTGCTGGAATATTGCTAAAAGCTGCGTAAAACCTCACTCACTCACTCACTCACTCACTCGACTATGGAGGCGGCACCTAATGCCGTAAGTAACGATTCACTGTCAGGGTACGATGCCCTCTGAGTGAAATATTCTTAATGACGCTTTGATCAGCACTTCTGTTACATAGCGTGTTTGGAGTTTGGCTCGGGGAAAAGCACCAGTGACTCAATTCGGGGATTTTTACCACATTGCGAAGCCAACCAGAATGAGTAGAACAGTGACAGTCCAAGGATCACAGTCAGGATTCGAACCATAACCAGAGAATTCTAATTTGGTCAAGGGAGTTAACTCTGTACAACGATTGGTAGACAATGTCAGCAGTGACACAAGTCGTAAGTTTGAGGTGAAATTTCTCGAGCAACGATTACACTTTGTGACTCATGGATTTGTTTTACATTTGTTTTGAAAAAGTATTTCGCTGAAACTACGACGATCGGTTTTTTTCCTTTTAGAGGAGGGGCGGTAGGGTAGCCTTGAGGTTAAAGAGTTCACTCGTCAGGCCATAGGCCCGGGTTCGATTACCCACATGGGTAAAATGTGTGAAGCCCATTTCTGGTGTCACTCGCCGTGGTAGTGAGGGAATATTGCTATAAGAGGTATAAGAAAACATACTCACTCACTCATGATCACTCACTCCTTTTAGAGGAAAGTCGTAAGTGAGTGGACGTGATTTTATCCTACCTCTCTACACATTCCAGCCACTTGAAAGTATGTGACAAAAAGTGACAGATGTAATCGATGTTACCGCTTTGGTAACCCCACGCAGTGATAGTTCAGATATACGGAAGATCGTCATGGACCGTTGAGTACATAGTTCTGTACAGGTATAGAGTCCGATCTACGCGTAAGTCAGAGAGTGAGTTGTGTTTTACCTCGCATATTCCAACTATAAGTTTCACGCGTGTGAGAATCAAACCCGTTTCTTCCGTGTGACGAGAAGAAACGTTCAACCACTGGGCTATATCCGACCGCCCTGAAAATAGCAAACGTGGTAGAAGTCATGTAGCCACCGGTCCCTGAAAACAGACATCTTTTTATTTCAGCAACTGAACTTAAAACAACGTCTTGCTGCTGTCGCTTGTCTGTCTGTCTGTCTGTATGTATGTATGCTACGCAAGATAAGTTAAAGTACGCCACATTCTTTAATATAACTATAGTTAATATGTCACGCAACTGTAGTATCACGAACGGGATGTTTTCAATAGTATACTTTCTTTGACATGGGGGTAAATGGTAACCACTGGACACTCCATGGCGTGGGAGAGGACGGGTGTGATTGTTCTTTTACCTACTCTTAGGAGATAATCTCATTGTTTTTTAATGATCGATTTAAACTTTACTATATAAGAATTTCAGTTTGATATTTGCAAGCTCTATATCTGGCCCCGCCTTTACACGTCTTCTTCCTAAAGTAGTAAGTACGGGTGTTAAACAAACGTAACTGTAGCTCTCATCATGGAATGGGTTTTGGTAGACCTCCGCATGACATGCCAACACTCCACACTTACTACTACATAACATTTCATCCATTGTATCAGACACGATCTCGAACATCAATGACAAACGGAACAGCTTATCAGCTGGTGTGAAAAGAATATATTTCAGTTTATCAGGACAGCCCGATGGCCCTAGGCGTGTGTCGATTCAACGAGCCTGGTTCTAATAAACCAAAATGCATTACCAGGCAAATCTGGGATTCAAACCCAGTCACCAACCCTGATCAAACCAAAGCAACAGATCCCACTGCAGATGCAGTAACAGCGTCTGTCCGGCCTTGCCATACCAAAATACGTTAAACGATAGTTCTTGTTGTCACCTTGCCTAACTCGGCATCCAGGGGTTATAAAGGGCATCCAGAGGTTATAAAGGGCATCCAGAGGGTTATAAAGGGCATCCAGGGGGTTATACAGGGCATCCAGGGGTTATAAAGGGCATCCAGGGGTTATAAAGGGCATCCAGAGGGTTATAAAGGGTAGAGCAGGGCCTAACCTGCTCGGATTCAACACGCAGCGGCTGAGTAAGGTATTTTTGTTACACCGCGGCATTTTATCCCGACGGTCTCGCACTTTAAATCCGACATTAATCTGAGATGCAAGCACCCCTCTAACCCTCTACGTCACCCACACGCACGCACGCACGCAAAACACAAACACGTGTATACACGCTGCTAGGTAAGCTCAGTAACTTTGACCACGTTTAACCCCATTTCCTTCTCAACCTCCTCTTGGAGTAAGTGCTGCAGGGTAGATGGAACCGATTGTGTTCAGAACTGGCCACCCGTGCAGATCCGGGTTAGATTTGATCTTCAGTAACCCATGCTTGTCGTAAGAGGCGACAAACAGGATTGGGTGGTCAGGCTCGCTGACTTGGTTGACACATGTCATCGAACCCGATTACGTAGATCGATGTTCATGCTGTTGATCACTGGATTGTGTGGTCCAGGCTCGATTATTTACACACCGCCGCCATATAGCTGTAATATTCCTGAGTGCGGCGTAAAACTAAACTCAATCAATCCGAACTGACTAAAATGGGGATCGAAGTGTAGTTTGGCTCATCATATGTTAGCCTTACAGTTTGGCGCTCATGCCATCGATTATTGGTTTGACTGGACCATTCCTTTACACATCTTTGATTTATTCTTTCCCTTATTTGTTACGACATGCCGGGTGCACGCGATAATTATATTAAATATAGTTAACTCTATTCACCAGCTCCATGCATTTCGATAGATTTATCGGTATCCTTCTCAAGAATATTCTAGGTCGTCCAATCCAATCACGTTCACTTTATGTATTGGCATGCACAGTGAAGGCTACTATACACCTATAGTCTCCATGTGTAAACTGCACGGTCAGCAGGTGCGCTCTACTCCCGTTGAAGTCTCGCGCGTTACGGAAGTCGCTGTCTGACAGGTGTACCATCTAAACGGTAATGTGTATGCTTCTGCATGTCGGTGGTAGGAAATCGCTCATCCAGGCTGGTGTGTCGCTGCCAACCGCTCGGTCGGAGAGTCGAGTAAAGCCGACCATTTCCAACTGTCAAACGTTGCAACAATATATATACGGGGTAAAAAAGACTGTGTACTATAAAAATCACAGTTGCCAATAAGTTTCATAACCATGCTGTGCCATTATATATACTTAAAATATTATCAATGATGTACCAAATTGCAAGTTCAATCTCAATGCACTATAAAACCCACTGAGGATGAATTCGTCATACACTCACGGTACACCGAGTCAGTTTATAAATGTTTTTTATATACCCGAAAAACAACTTTGGAACGTCATGTCGGTAAGGTAATTACGCTCGTCATATTACCTGTACGCCCAGGTGTGCTGCCATGTCTTCAGTGAGTGTGTGAGTGAATTTAGTTTTACGCCGTTTTTAGCAATATTCCAGCAATATCACGGCAGGGGACACCAGAAATGGGCTTCACACATGTACCCATGTAAGGAATCGAACCCGTTTCTTCGGCGTGACAAGCGAACGCTACTAGGCTACCCCACAGCCCGCCATGTATTCAAACTGTACACCTGGTATGTTGACAACAAGGCTGAATGTTAGTCCTCTTACAGGTGAGTCCAGGAATCATCTTGACAGCAGTGATAACCGTCAGCGTCTTGTTGACGTTGGCTGGAACGTCACGGTGACGCGTGTGTTGTTCAACGTCCTGCATTCGCTGGTGTGAGTTAACAGAGTGGGGAAGCATCACTGCATATCACAGGAAACCCTTTGAAGATCATCGACGGCAATCTGGCTGGTATATTCAACCGTGACAACGGTGTCCGTCATCACTTCTTCCCCGTATATTCAGACCCACGGACATCACATTACAGCAGGACGATGTACGTGTAATTTTACTGCCGGACACTCCCACAGTCAAAGGTTCGAAGGTTTTTATTTTCTCAACTTTCACCAACGGTGGTACATGACTGAAGTGGAAAAACGTTATATACACATATACACCAAGATGGCATCGGAGAGATATAATTGAGGCAGGATAATGTACAATACAATATACATGTACATACATATTCATATATACAAGGGTGTCATTAGAGAATGATGCAAACATTTAATTACATGTATTTATATCTAAACTTCTATTGATACATTTAATAAATTTTGACAATTCTTTAACATATTGAGCTTTCTTTGAACAAAGTAATCTTTTGAGTGTATAAAGTCACCTGGCCTGCTGTTTTGCCTGATCAATACATCATCGAACATGTGAGATTAAAGCGTTCCGACTAACAAACCAACCAGTGGTGTTTGTCCAGACAATGTATACTTTTGTTAACACGAATATCTTCATTTAAATTAAAAAGGAGCCCGAGTGAGCTGAAGCTGAGGACAAACTAGATTTGCTTCGTTTTGGGCCTTTGTATGTATAGCATTGTATGGTTGTAATTCAGGGACTGTGAGACACAATAACTTTGGTCCAACAGGTCATGGTTCATATCAAGAATAGCAAACCTTCGTCACCACTCTTAAATATCTCTGTTCTCTGTCTCTCCGTAAATGACCCTTCCCCATAAATGACCAGCCCTTAAAGTACTTATATTTATCAGTGAGGTGTTTTTTCTTC